ATTTTAACGATTTTTTCCCAAATTTTTTTTTTTTTTTTTTATTGATCTTAAACAAAACAACTCGGCAGCAAAGGCCATTAGTTCACATTTCTTAATAACAATTTAGATAATATATATATATAGGGTTCATAGATACAATTATATTTTGTTAATTAAATTAGTTAGTTTAAGAAATTTAATGTTTTTTTTTGTTCTGATCAGGTTGTGGTCCGAGAGTTGAGTCGAGGGTATCGGTAAAGTTGAGCTCCTGCCGCTCCTGGTCGTAAACGTGACATTCAGTCAAGATGTGTTTGACGGTGAGATGTTGGCCGCAGGCTTCACAGAAGGGGGGTAATTATTAATTTATTGAATGGATTTATATTTAATGTTTAAATGTCAAGTCAAAACACAACGGGGGCCATGGGGCTATAATTTTCGAATGTAACTAACTAGGTACTCATAATAATAATATGATCGTTTTATCCGATGGCTATCTGTCAATAGATCATATTATATGCATTTTGGTTTTACCCGGCAGATACTCACTCCTTTCCATAAACGTACGGTGGTTAATCAACCATTAAAAATCGATAATAAACTAAATAGGTATGTAATCCAACATTTTGTATACTAAGTATTACACACAATATAATATGTACCTACCTAAAATGTCCTGATATATTTTGTCTCGATAGCAGTAGATAGTCGGGAAGACCTATAGTAATTATGATATTATATTGAATAGTTGGCTAAAAAAATGTACCTTCATAGGTGACAGGTGAATAAAAATATCGGCCGGTGATGACTAACTTTCAATGATCATTTTAAACAATTTTAAACAATTTTAGGCAAGTTTATATGCTATATTGTCGCGTCTATCGTGTGCAATTATTATTATTACTTGCGACATTTTTATTTTAAAATAGCCTACTAGCCACACTAATAATAATATTCTACATAATATAATATATTAATATATACATTTAGTAATGGTTGGTCTTGGTCTTAATTATAGGGTTACCAGATTAGGCAGATCATATTTTTCGATCCCGGGAGGCCGGGACATTTTGAATTTGAATGGATAAATTAAATATTATATATTTATAAATTATAAATAATAATATAAAATAATATTTACTTTTTTTTGTTTATATATATAAACTCTAAAGTAGATAACATTAATACCTTAGTGATGAAGTGGTTTTAAAAAAAATCATTAAGTTTATGATTCTCGCGGTAATTGACCATACAAAGTCTAAAAATAAGTTATAAAATTAAAATACCTATGATAATCTTGCATTTTGTAATGTGTAGGACGATAATGTTTTCTCATAGTTGAAAATCGGTATTTTATCGAGTAAAATTTTGAAACCTGCACAAATCGCTGTCCCGAAACAGTAGTGTACAGTGCCGCCGCAACAACCACAGGGGCAGCCGGGGCAATGCCTCTGCAGAGGGCCGCTAATCGTTGGCTCAAGGGGCCCCGACGTGCAATGCGTCTATTTAAAAAAAATGTATTATAGTCTAATGTTTAAATAAAATAAAATATATTAAGTAAAAATATTTATTTTTATGATTTATGATTCTATTTAATGTGTTGTCGAAGAGCGGGGGGGGGCCCCTATTGATCCATAATAACATCTATATTTATATATAAAACTTTTAGTGAAAGTATTGGTAATTTATTGACAGAATAAATTGGTAAATAATATGTATGTACTAAATACACTTATATAATTGTGGATATTAGAATATAAAATATTGATAAAAATTTTGCAAATTGTACAAAAGTATATATGGTATTGTTTGTTTAATATTTTTAGGGGGGSTTTAACTTCAAATTATTTATTTTGGGGGAGGTAAGCCCCCCTCCCGGTCACTGCCGATGAACGTTTTAACAATTATTTCATACATTTTATTATTTTAGCTAATTCTATTTATGATGATTCTGAATATTCTGATAAAACTGTTAGTGAAAGCATTGGTAATTTAATGACAGAATCAATATTATAATACAATTTATATTTATAATAAAAAAACAAACACTAAAAGTGTAGTTATATTTTAATAACAAGACGTCAAGACACCAGTCACTGGTGGTGGGCCTTCGCATTATATTTTTAGGCTTTTTTAAAAAAAAATACCATAATTATTTATTTTGTATTGGTAACCCATAAAAAAATATACATAGGTAGGCCTCCGTGGCTAAATCGAACTCGTAATCAGATAATCTGCAATAAGTGCTATATACAATATGGTTATGGTATTTTCATTTTTCCATGATTATTAATGTTCAACGTTGTTGGAAAAAATTATGACCAACTAATATCTAGGTACCTACTATTTTCACAGTTTCCGTTTTTCGTTATAGAATTGAACATTACAATTATTAACTGTATATACATTTAATTTTTTTATTTTTTTATTTTACATCGTCAACATTTTGTCGTCTACGTATGAATGTATATTAAAATTTAATTATATTATGTACCACTGTAGGCTATAGGCTATATTCTATATGTCTGTATAGATCTATAGTATATAAAGCATAAAGCTATATTATAGTACGCGGGTCACGATACGACACGCCGAATTTTTAAACGCACCACCTCCAGGAAGAGTTAAGACTGGCAAGGTTGGTGGACAGTGCAATCAGTGCATTGACACCTTAAATTATTAAAAAACCGTAAACTACCATTAAACTGTTGTAGGTACATGATCAAGTCACAACGTCAGTCATCGTGTACGCAATATGAGGAGCGTGCGAATTGAGTGTGTTTGTAAATAACTACAGATAGAAGAGCATTGTTGCAAGTTTCACGAAAATCACACGAATGTAAGGTAGAAAAATATACAGCACTGTATATTTTACATGTAAATTATATCATGATTAGTGGTTATCTGAGTTGGTTTTCTTTACAACGATTAAAAATATAATACAATATCGTTTAATTAGATATCAGCTTTGATGACGTCAAACGCATAATATTGTTTCTTTAAAATGTTTTAATAAACTATTAATATAAGTGACCAATGACTCTCAGACAGATTAGGATAAATGGGAGTCCGGAGAAATTTGTCAGGGGAGGATATTTTTGTTTTTAAAATATGTTTGTTTCACTATCCGATTAGTCATAAAGTAAAGTTAGTGACAAGTATTCTTTTATATAGGTTGGTAAGGAATTTAAAAACTATTTATGAATTATAATATGTAGATAGTTATAATTTCATATTAAACATTCGTTTTAATTAATTATAATGCAACTTTAAATTAAAAAACAGATTTTTTAATAAATAAAACGTCACCATTGATTTTATAATTATAGGTTATTTAAAAAATTAAATGTTTCAAGCCTCTTTAAAATAAATATGATCAATTTTAATGCAAAACAACTAAACTATTTTAATGTTAATATAACTTAAGTCTAAAAACGTTAAATATAAATTATCAATCCMTAGATTGTTGTATAGCGAAGTTTACTTATCAACGATTTTATAAAATTATAACTTCGTCCCTAGTGTAAAATTACAATATATCACGAATATGTGTAATTTGCAATTATTTCGCATATAACTATATATTTTATTTAGTAGTCTTTATATTTATGATATAAATGAATATGTGTATTATACTAAAATGTATGAATGTAAATTGTAAGTCGTAGACCGTAGTCCTTAGGTGTGATAAAATACAAAAATAAGTGGTTAGATAAAAATTATATAGGTAATGCATTTAACTTTTCACGAATCTCCAGGATGAGATTTAGACTGTTTTTCAGTTTTTAGTGTTTTTATTACTCGTTAGACTCGTTAATCATTCTAAAAATAATGTAGGTTGGTACGCTTG